ACTATAGGTTGAAGCCCTTTACAGAACATTATCAAGTGTTCGGCAGTTTCCTCCTCCTCTCCGCATGCACTGCATACCATGTCTGCCCCTTCGTATTCGGCCCGATATGTCTTGGTTCACAATACTCCTGTCTTGGCCTCAAACAGTAAAGAACTATTCGGAGTATTACCATAGATTCATTCCTTAGCAATTTTGTGCCTAAAAGTTTGATAGATCTCTAGTGCAGACTTCTTAATCATGCCAATTCTCCACATGTCAGTCTCTGTTTTCTTCACCTTCTTTTTAACCGATAGTTCTTTTTTGTGTGGCCCCCTGCTGTTTTCTAAGTATTTACCAGTCAATTTTCTAATTCGCTTCTGCCATTTTGTATCGACATTCTTCATGTACAAGTAGCTGAAAACCTTCCTAGCCCAACACTTCTTCCCCATTTCTCTCAATCGCTTCTAGTGTGCAGGCCTGAAAGCACCACCTTCCTAATTGCTATTACGCTGCAAACTGTGGTCACAGTCTAAACATGAATAAATTGATTCCACAAGTGAAATTCTACCGATTTCCAAATGAATTACAAACAGCAGATGAATGGTATATGAGGGGAACTTGTTGCTAGTTAGCGAAAATTTAGTTGCAAATTAGTTGAAATAGTTAGATGAAAATACTTCCAAGACGTGCACCAAATTCTAAGTACATGAGCCTAACTGATAAACTTGAAGTGATAATCAGTGCAATGTTGTGTACATATTTTCTTTAGTATGTGTCAGTGACACTGTAGCCATAGCGAAGGGAGCAGTTTGGGTGTCAGGTGTTTCCGCTCCAACTAAATCATTTTAAAGTGTCAGCTACTTTCAACGCTTCAACGTTTGCTACAAACTACAACCAAAGCTTCGACTTACGGACGTGGCTCTGTGACGGCCTTGAAGAAGAGAAGGAGGCCGAAGAATTTTCATTTTGGCGTTGCCTCCCCCGCCCCGGCTCCGCTCTTTTTCTTCTGTTCTCGTAGTTTCCTTGAGAAGGTGTCTCTTAAATTGCGCCATCTATTATATGCTAGCTTCACATTTTCTAGAAAGGAAAAGGTAACGAAAACACATTATGCAATATTTCTCCATTTTTAATGAAATATTGGTGACACAAAATGAGAAGCAAGAAAAAAGAACTCTGAAGGCAAGATGACTTGTGACATTCCACGCTTTTTACTGATTGTTCCATCAATGCTTCCGAATTTGCCACTCAGATATCTCATAATACTATGCACCAAATCGGCCAACACAATTTCAATTTTAATGCTTGCAATGGCAAAGTTGGCAATTGCTCACTGTCGAAAAATGTTTCCATGTTTAACATTTCAATGCCACAAACTTTGCACGAGTTGTGTACTGCGTAACAATTTCATACTATACGTACATAACTGATGATTGATGTTAAGACAATTTGGTTGACGTTAAGACTGCAACAGCTATGTTAGACGATGCATAAAACCTGTTTGCAAGACTTTCCGTTAGAATTTTAAAAAGTGGCTTTCATGTGAGGCCCCTTTACTCGAGGCTACATAGCGGCTCGAGAGGCGCGGACTCGTTTGCTCGCCACAACACTTCTATGGGGTCATAATATAAGCGCCGGCGTGCATTACTTTATGAAAAGAAGTCATAGGCGCTCAAAATTTGTCATTAAGTTCCGTTTCCAATCACTACGGAGTGTAACCCGATGGAATGTCACTTGCTAATTTGAAACCGGTAAACGTAGCTTTCCAGATTTGCCGTACGTCACGTTTCAAGGTTCGCGACGTGTAAGTCTAAAACTTACGTGTTTTAAACTTTATCTCACATGAAAAGCTCAGCTGCGTGCGCAGTTCACACTACAAAAAAAACGCCCGAAAGAAAAACAATTTGACAATGAAGTACATGTACATACCATCTGTCAAAGCAAGGCCTAGCGTGCTGACGACTCGCCTCCAGGCATCCGCACGTGCGTCTGCATTTCGGTACGTTGCCGAGCGCTGATTCCGCAGTGCCAGCTCCTGCCGCACAAGTGAAATTAATAATTCAGTGGAAAATCGAGCCGCTTCTGAACCCATGGCTTTGTCGAAACTGCCGGCACCAATGCAGCTACCTTGTCAGCACAAAAATTTAGCAATATGGTAGCTCCACTAGCTGGTTCACCTGCTTCGTGACACGTTTCCTTCTTCGAGCTGCGATTGGCTGCTGGAATGCGGCGGTGCGTCGCGGCGACAAAAATATCTCGCCGGTTTGATGCTCGCCGCCGCGGATATGTGGCGGTGCGACGCGATGATACGTCACGAAACGTCACCACTCCGGCAGTCGCATCGTCGCACCGCACGCCGAATTGCAGAGAAAATCACACGTCTATCTTGCGCTTAAGACTGACATGCGCTCTTCCATAGAAAGCCGCTCGACGCGGCAGGCCGTACCATGCGTTTTTAAAGACGATAGACTTTCTTGGGCATCTTCGACGCAAAAAAATTGGTCTGTCCGTCTGTCCGTCTGTCCGCCTGTCCGTCTGTCTGTCTGTCTGTCTGTCTGTCTGTCTGTCTGTCTGTCTGTCAGTCTGTCTGTCTGTACATTTGTCTGTTTGTCTACTGTTAACGGCTTGTAGTACTTGAAATGGCCGACCCCATTCAATGCACCCACCTATGTTGTTCAAGGATGAGCGTTAATGCTTGTGGAACTGTCAATGAAAAAGCAATTATTGCGCATGCCTGGGACACCATAACAACACGTATTTTCTGAATGTGCGTCTCTCACTAGAAAAGGCATATTATTAAGGACCTTAGCGCCTATCACGCTGCGCTGACCATGTAACGCTTGTACGGAAAGGCGAGTGTTTCCAACGCTTTGCTTAAAGAAAACGGTGGTCGCACCTACTTGTCGCCTTGCGTTCTACACCTTATCACCTCTGAGATGGGCGCGCACACCCGTCTTAGAACCACGAGCTTTGTTTTTTAAGACAACTACTAGATGGCGCCTGAGCCTCGCGTGTGACTCAGGCGCTCGTTTGCCTCCGCTGCACGCTAAAGGCACTCAAACGCAGCACCTGCAGAATGCCATTCACCGATTTTCTTGCGCAGAACATCAAATAAATGTCTTGTTTTCTTTCTTCACACGCAAGACTATCGCCTTTCGACGACATTTGCAGATTACATGCAGATAAGGGACCAATTGTTTTCATCCAGCGGCCATGTTGTTACAATGATTAGGTCTGTGGTGTCTGCAGTCACAACACACCAGAGTTGCTGTTGCCATCACGTCGCTCTTGGCACAATAAGCATATGGGCCCCAGTGAGATTTATATAATGGGAGTTTTTGAGGCTGATAGCTAGTAACAATTTGCACCTTTTTTTTGTTTGTGTGCGGCCGGCTTCACCAACATAAATTTCATGGCGTCTCACATGAAAAGTGAATTGTCAATTGCTCTAAAAGCCTATTACTAATTTATCTGTGTTACGAGTGATATCACCTTATTTAGGGCGTTAGCATGCCTTTGCTAACTGACGCACACTGGTGTTCACGTTCTGCAGTTTTGGCAACCAATTTAGAAATGGTACATCGACTTCAACTTCTAGCCTGATAATTATCCAGTTACGCTGAAATTAGTGCCAGAAGTGTTCTCGAAGCCTAACGTATAGGGGTAGAGTTATTAATTACATGATTTTAGTTTCCTTCTAATGAGATCTCATGCTGCATGGCACCTCTCTAGGATATTTGCCGCTGAGGTTTAACGAACTGACGTGGTGCTGTGGAACTCCTTACAGCTGTGCACAACGCTTGGGCTAAATTCTTGCTTCAGCTCCTGTTTTTTTTTTCAATATGAAACCGCTGATGGCATAGTTCAATCCGTTGGTGTGCGGACTGACCGCTCTTGCTGTGCATGCGCAACAGTGGCCTAACAATCGCCAGAACGCGATCACGTGCTAGTGCGTTCCGCCCACTGTAAGGAGGTGGGCTAGGCACTGTGGGCTCTTTGCCTTACCCTCTCTCGACAATCATGTGAGGACGTCGGGAAACGAGATTCTGCAGCCGGGGGGGGGGGGGGGTGAATCAACCTGTTGTATTCTAGCAGAACGTGCCGGCGCCTGCTAGCACGTTCAGCCCAGCGCAAGTGGCCGTGTAGGAGGCTGGGGCCTCTCCTCCTTACACTCCTCAGCAATCACGTGATAACGTCGGAAAACAAAATTGTCCAGATACGCGTTGAACCCACGCGCTCCCGCGTGGCGTCCTCCAACGAGAGTTCGGGGCGAGTACAACAGAAACTAGTGTGATTTCATGATGCGTTCCACTTGCAAGGACGCGTTAACATTGGGCAAGGTACCCACGATAAATCGAACTTTAAGTCGACGCATGCGCTACTTCACACGCTACTCATGGTTCTCAATTAAGCGGAACAGAGTAATTTTGTTCTATGCTGTCGGAATTTTTTCACGCACGTTCACGAGAAACCGGCGGCAATGTTTGAATTCTTGTTACAGGTACTCTTGAATGCATATGGTAATAGTGTTCAGCCACATAACACTAAATGGTTTAAGTAGAGTGCAATCACTAGATCTCCAGTTGTGTAGAGGTGGCACTTTTCAATACAATACACTAGTAAAAATTGACAGTATGGTAAATCACAGAGATACTATGCAATTTGACACAAAGTGAGACAATATGTCACTTTCATGTTCAATTATATCTATAAAATTAACTTTCTATGCATACTGAGAGCATGTATATGCAAGAATATCACTCGCTAGAAGAGCCTATTGAGAGCCAAAGCGTTCTGCGTTTTTAATGCGTATCTTGCTATGGTACGAGGGTTTTTAAGAGTGAAGGGTCCGTAGTGCAAAGGAAGTAATAGTTGCTCAAGTATTAGTCCTTATTTGTCATGGCGTGGGCATCGTAACAACAAATGCAAAATTGTTGTCATGCGTTCTACTGCTGTTCTACGTCTTAGATTTACTGCGTAGGAAGTGCTGACAGAATCACACATTGTCATTCAACCTTTTTCAGAGTGGGTGTAGACTTTGACGGTGTCGGAAAGGCCAGCAATTGTCCAGCTCACGAAGGGTACCTGATGGGAACCGGAAAATTGAAGCTGCCTTTGGGCTACTCACTTTGCACAAAGCGTCTTGTTGGAGCTGCTTTAAGGTAACAGTAATGCATGTCATTTTCGAGCTAAACGAGCTGTTCTCAGTCATGTATATTACGGGCACCCCTTGTGGACCTGTGGAAGTGAGAGGCAGAAGGGGGGTCATGGTTCACGGGGAAAACATCGTGAAATACGCCTATTTTATTTCTGCTTGGCAAAAATAGTCAAACTAGTGGGCCGGACTTATTCAATCTCAACAACTTCTTCACAACTTGTGTGGTACGCAGCCAAAGTCAACAAGTGGCTATATTCGATATTCAAATATGCACGCCAAGAAAAAAGACTTTTCGATAGCTCATGCTGTAGAAAACTGTCACGAAATTTCTAGAGCGATCTCACAAAGAAACCCAACACAAGTTGGCTCTACCCAAGAAAAAAAGGCTATTCAGACGAGCATGCCAGAAACTGCCGTGCTTTCTATAGTCAAAAAGTACGGCTAACTTCCGTCAGGTCGGGGACAAACAGGCGTTGTAGTGCTGTCAAGGCGCAAAGTGTGGCTCCAGAAAACAGGTGTATTTTTCTCGACGGTGCGCTTCCTGGAGCCCTAAAATTGGCTTCGCGGACAACCTCAAAGGTTGCCCACTGTTCAGTTTTTCTACCTACAGCCACGACACTACCGCCAGCACCTTTGTATATACATTCCAAGCATGTACGAGACCTTGTTCACGAGCAAGTTTGGAGCAACACGGTTTTCAGTGGGCCTGGCAGCTAGCTTATTTATGGCCTGTTTTATAGTACCATGTCTCATCTGCAGTGGACCTGAGGGCTAGAACGGTTGCACCAGAATAGAATATGCGTCATGCCAGGACATGGCAGCATTAGTCCTCGCCACCGTGCTGACGGGGCCAACCGAGACTATGTCACTGTAATTACTTATACTTCACGTGCAAAAGTACGTCTTCTGGCTTGATGTTACATTTATTATTTAAACAGTGTAACTTAACTTTAAGCATAGTTTAGTTTTTTAATATTGTACGGCCAAAAGTGCTCTTCAATACTGCAAAATATCTTCTCCTGTCACAACAAACAATAAAGGGGAACGTAAATAACCGATAAGTGATACATTCTGGTGTATTGTTGGGTGTATGTGATATTACAAGGTTAAAGGCTACAATTTGTAAATGTTGGTCGGCAAAATCACCATGTTGAAATGATTAGTAAATATTGTACTCATTTTTGGTGTATGATTGACATTGTGATCCTTTCAGAAGGTCGCAATGTCTCGGCAACAAGATCAGCAACAAGACGACCAAACGCATACCGATTCCAGCAAAGATTAAAAGAGGAGTCTATTGTTCGTGGTTCGGCTTATCAGAATGTGACGTAAGTAATTTATAAAGACATCACTTTGCATGTCATTTTATAATCACGTAAATGTGATGAAAATTTAATGCATAAATTGCTGTGGCTGTGTAGAATTCTGTCGAGAATCAACAACTTTAAACCAGTAGTGCACACTAAAACCCACACTACTCTGGGCTCACACGACATTTCAGTCGACTTTAAGCTGCACAGTCGAGTGAAACACGACGCAATTGCTTCCAGATGCTACTTTGAACTAACGATGAGCATACAATATGCGTGCAGAAGAAGTAGAAGAATAATATGAATAAAGGCTTATCTGAACATTTAAGAGATATCGCAAGTCACAATTTTCGTCAGTGGACAAGACGTCGCACTGCCAGGGTGTGATTGAAATAGGAATAATACAAGACTGCCGGAAAAGGGAAACCTCAACACATTGGTAATTGTTGGCCTGAAAACTTTCGTCACCACTTTACAAAGTATTCGCCAGAATAAGTTTCATTTAGACACACCCAAGAATCAACTTAAGTTCACTTTCCAATCAATAAGCGGTAGGAAATACTTCCTGGGCAAAACATATTATTACGCACAATGAAAGGGTATACTTTAAATAATCAAATGGTTGCGGCGAACTTTTTCCCAAGAAACAGACAACTAAAAAAAGCCTAGGTGGCCGCTACATTCCAAAATCTGTTCGCAATATTCCACCTAATCTTTCCGTTTTCTTGTGGAGTCTCTTGTGGGGATTGTTGTATGACTCATGCTAGCACGTGCTACTTGCTGAATTGACGATTCTAAGTACGCCATCGACTATCGGAAGGGCGTAAGAATTGGAGAGCGCACACAATTAGAATGTGGCTTGTGCGATTTCCCTCCTTCCAAAACTGTGTCGTTCCAATGATTTATGCCACATGGGTTCCAGACTCGTTCAAACAGCTTCTTTGTGAAAGCTGTTTTCGCGCAGGGGAGAGGTGTTCTCAATTGTCGATTGTCTGTTATGAAAAGGCTTGATTCTTACGACGTGTACAATTTCTGTGCCCGAATGCTCCCCTGATGAGGTTTTTTGCCCATACAAAACAACTTCATAGTTTATGAACGAATCCGTCGAATAACCCTGTATAGACCGAAATAGTGGCGAAGCAGCTTTTTGAACCGGCAACGTACTTGTACGAGAATCCACACACAAAATTTGTCGCCCGGTGCATACTGGACGTCGCTTCGTCGCTAATCGTATCTATAGGCGTCTACTTGTTGCTGGTGAATGCGATGTCGTGCAAGGTGTCTTGCTTCATCTGCCCCTTTTATAAAGCCATTGATATCATGGTCGTGCTCGGACATTTTCTCTACAGGAAGCATTGCATCTAAAGTTGTGATGACTCTCCAGCTAAAACCAAGTTGAAAAGGCGTCATACGGGTCGTCTCATGCTGTGCAGCATTGTACGCGTAGGTTGCATGTGACATATATTGGAACCCATCTTTCGTGCTTCACATCCACATACATCGACAGCATATCAGCCAACGTTCTATTCAGTCATTCGGTTAGTATAGTTGTTCGTGAGTGACACGCGGTCGTTTATTTTTTCATGACCAGTGTGGGCCAATTTCACTATGGACTTCGTGAAATCAGTCGTGAACACGGTCCCTCAATCTGTTACTAGCACTCTAGATGCTCTATGCCGCAGTACGGTGTTGGTGAAGAAAAATTCGGCAACTTCTAAAGCTGTTTCCCTAACTAGAGACGCCGTCTCTTCATATAGGTTCAGCTAGTCGGTTGCCACTATTATTCACCGCTTCGCAGGTAACGAAGTAGGAAAAGGGCCGAGTAAGTCCATTCCCACTTCTGCGAATGGTGCCCCTGGTTGAAGGAGCCCAGCTGGTTTCAACTGTGGCGTCTAACGTCTCTGGAAGTCGCAACAAGTTCTAAAACGTATTATTTTACCAAACTCTGCAACTTCAGCCAGTAACACTTAGTACAAATGCGTGCTACCGTTTTGCTTACACCCAAGTGTCCCGATAAAAGGTCGTCGTGGCAAGTCTCCGAAATCCAGAACGTAATACTGAAGGAACGACGAGCAGGAACGTCGTTGTATTGTATTCAAAGCTTCTTTTATACAGTACGTTATTGCGCAAGATAAACATCTCCAAAACACGCCAAAGGACTTGTTGACGATCAACACATTGTCCTTTCATTTATTAAATCAGTTGGTGTAAATCTGAGTCAGACTGCTAATGATGTGCCATTTGTATTGTCATCACTGCTCCAAGAAAAAGAAAATCTTGCCCATCTTCCGCGAAAATAGAGACAGTTGGTTAAATCTGTGCTCGAGACAAGCAATCAGCGTCACTCGGCTTGCGACTGGATTTATATATGATCGTTACGCCGCATTCCTGGAGCTGTAGGTTTTACCTTGCGAGCCGTCCAAACGGGTGCTTGTGATTAGAGAGCCAGCACAATGAATGGTGGCTACTAATGGCTCGAGAAGGTCTACCATTTCAATATGGCTGAAACTTGTGGAGAGCCAATATGACTGTCAAGAATTTTTTTTTCTGTCGCTGAGTAGTTCACCTCGGCTTTCGAAAGAGTTTGACTAGCGTACTCATTCACTCGTTCTTGCTAATTTTTCTACTGAATAAGTATGGCTCCGCGCCCTGAATTCCTAGCGTCGGTGTGGAGATCTACTTCGGCTTCCTGGTCTTAATGAGCAAGAACTGGGTGACCCTGAAGGTGCTTCTGTAGTTATTTGAATGTCCCTTACTGTTCAGTGAGCAAGATAAAAGGTGTGTCTTCCTTGGTGAACCTCGTTAGTGGTTTAGCGATCCATGAAAAACTTTCGAAGAATTGTTGCTAATAGGCACATAGTGCCACTGTCTTTTCTCGATCGAGACTAACTCCGGCCGAGCTGATTGATGACTTGGACAAGAAATGGAAGCTCTCGATATCTGATTTGACATGCCTGTGGATTTATCCTCAAACCTACTGAATGACAGTGAGTACAGCGGGCAGTCGTTCACCGTATTGTTCAAAAGTAATAAAAAAACACAACTTCATCAACATAAACGAGACAAGATTGCCATTTCAGGCCGGAGAGCACTGGGCCCATCATTCATTGGAAGGTGGCAGGTGCGGAACAAAGCCCAAGCGAGAGCACTTTGAATTCGTATAAACCGTCCACCTCTCTGCTGTACATTCTTGCTAGCTCTTGCAGCGTTCTTTCCATCGCAGCCACCTCGGAACAAAACTCAGCGACAGTGCGTCACTGAGTTTTGTTTCAGAGCAGCAAGCAGGCCGGCAAACAGTTCCTGTTTTACCCCTCGCGTTAGGTGGTGCAGTTTCGGGTCTTCGCTCATGTTAAGATCCACTGAGCGGAATAGGCAAGACATGCCCTCTACGTACATGGTAACGCTTTCGTTGTTGCGTTGGCTTCTCGTTTAGACGGCAGCTTTGGCTCTCCCTCTGCGATCTGTACTCAGGTAAGTTGCGAGCAGCCCCCGTTGGAAGTCGTCCCAAGACCACATGGCCGATTTGTGGTTTTCGAACAACGTTCGAGTGCTATCTTCGTTGCGAAGTAAACATGTCCCAGTCTGCGACCTGCTTCCCAATTTCCCATTCGCTAGCCTTCGCAACGCGCTCAAATGGTTCTAGCCAATCTTCCGCGTCTTCGTAACCTTCTCCGTGAAGAGACGTCGGCGTCAGTGGGGGACTCACTACGATTTTAGCTATTGTAACAAGAGTTGTCATAAAACAGGTGTTTTCTTTCTCAGCCGTTGAAACTCTGATGGACTCCAACGAAGGTGAAAATTCAGGGGACTCACCGCGCAAACAACGGCTGCAGCGCTGGTGAACTTGAGTGAGCTCATTATATTCAAGTCGCTGTGACTCTGAGCTTAGTTCCGGGACTTGAGGAGGGCTTGTAATAATACGCCGCACCTCCACCAGTTTGTAACGCACAATGAAACGGTACACTTATATCAAACCAAGTGGTTAAGGCGAACTTGTGCCCAATTAAGGAACAGAAAACTGAAGAAAAGTCTATGTGGCTGCTTCAGCCAACGGTCTGTTCGGAATCATCCACCTCATCTTCTTTTTTCCTTTTTCTCGAGCCTCCCGTCTGTCTCAATGCTTCGCATAGAGTTTTCTAAATTTAAACTAGAGGGAACTGCGGCGCTAGTGTCTAAGGGGAGCTGCAACGCACGGCGTTTCAGCAAGCATGGGAACGATGGGCAGTACCCGGATTTATATAATCTTTGTGCTTCTGGCTCCTTGTGTGTTCTTGTGGCTCGGAGCTGCTTTTCATGAAACAAAAATCAGCAACTGTTCAGCGGTTGCCCCTCATGCCGTTTTCTTTTTGAAGGTAGAGGGGGGGGGGGGGCTTACCATCTACATTCGGTCACTAAGTTTAAAAGGCTTTGTTCTTCGAAACGATGCCGAAACACCACAATAAAGAAAACCACAAGTACGATTCGCCACCCGCAAGTACGAAGACTAGGCAAATATGTGCACTACCAATCATTCCCATGGCCTCTGAATGATTGCAGCACCAGAGTCTCCTCTACTTATTTTACGAAACTCTATGTTGTATGGCTTGTGATAGCGCGTGCTACTTCATAAACTGTTGATTCTAAGTATACCATTTACTCTCGGGAGTGCGTAAGAATCGCATTGTGCGCGCATTTTGATTGTGCCTTGTGGCAATTTTTTATTACATTGTGCATTAATAAAGCTTTAGGTATAACAGACACAGAAGGGTACGCACCCACGGTTCGAATAAAAAAACATCTATATAATTCATGTCACAGACTCAGCGATTGCGAATTTACAGCAGCTTCATTGCTGTTGTTCTCATCTACAACATACGCGACATAATACCCAAACAGAAATCGCTCAAAGAAAAAATTACGTTAATGTTCGGAAAGAACCGAGTTCCTAGCGGAAAGAACTCGGCATTAAAATTCAAAAGCGAATATCTACGAAAGTTGTCAGTCCAAAGGTGTGCTCAAACTTTAACTCTCAAAGAGCA